AGGAGATTCTATCATTAAGTTTATCTTAATCCCTCTTAGCAGATGGCGATACAGCACCTTAAAACAGGCCACGTCTGTTTCTTTCCACAGACTTTCCAATTCATTATTCATTAATCAACTAATCATTCGACGTAACATAACCTAACAAATAATCCACTGATCGATACGCTCTATAAACCAAAAATAAATAAATAAATAAATAAACAAGCTGATGGTAGTAGAAAAATATAGACAGAGCAAATAAAATTACATTATAAAATCCAGGGGACGTTCTATCAAAACTTCTCCAAGGACCTGTGCGTTGTTTTCCATCTTGAAAAAAATATATTTTTCCCCTCTCGTAAAAAGCAGAGTCTCAGTCCTTTAATGAGCGAATGGACACAAAGAGTAAAGGTTTTATGTTCCACGCACTACACCAAATCAAATTAACAGAAGCTCCTTCCACATCTCAACTTCATATTCCAAATCAAAATACGTAATATCACTCACGCACCGAGAGTGAAACAAAATCATCATCAGACCGAAAGTACCAAGTAACACGACTTTGTTACTGATATAAAAGAAAACAGTTATTCCACCTCGCGATACCATTCCACACAGAATCAATTTCTAACGCCAAAAGTTTGATATTTCAACGGTTACAGCTCCTTTCAGAATTACGTAACTACACGAATCTAACAATTCTTAACGAGAAAACGACATGGAATAGTTTATTCAAAAGAAATCGCTGGAAAACGTACATAAACTTAACAAGAAACACTAGAATTTGTAAAGGAATTCAGCGGAAGTAAGCGTATGTTCTAAACAGAAGTTTCTCACGTGCACTGACTTAAAGCAGCTCTCAACTACACATTGAAAATGTACGCTCAAAAGACCATAATCATAACAAGGGGGCCAGATGCAACATCACACACATCAAAATTTTGGCTGGCCTTGTAATCCTGGGGTCTCGGGTTCGATTCCCGGCGGTGCCCTAATTTATAACTTGTGTTGGGCAAGGCAACACGGAGTTTTCCTCCGTGGCATCCCAACAATTACTCCATTCACACACAGAAGAAGGCAATGGCAAACCACTTCTGGATCATCTGCCAAGAACGCATATGAACAGGTCCCAGTCCGAGAAAAGGAGGGAAGGATCCTGTTCATATGGACCTAGCGTCAGACAGAACACTAAATAATAAAAAATAAATTAGTAATGAACCAAAGGAAGAAATAAAGAAAACATTATTTCTTGAAGAACTGAAGACGATCTATGGAACAGGACAATCCTTTGTCAAAAATGAGGGGTGACCTTACTGGACATGGGCACTCAGCCTATTCCTGTTCCAACCACGTAGATCATTGTGAAAACGTAACACTTCAAAGAAGCAAACCGGACAACAGAACTGACTTGATGCAAATTTCAGTTACGCGAGTGTACATTTTTACGAAAATATGACAAACTGAAAGGCGGTAAAGCTGATAACGGATGGTTTTGACGGTACAGTCTGACAAACGAGAAGAAAAATTTGTATGTGTATTACAATAATATTTGTTTATATATATATGAAACAGGGGGGGAAAAGTTCTTGGCCCACTATTTAACGATGGCAAACAAGAATTTTTAAAATTGCTGCTAGAGGCGCCACTATCTATCAATAGCAATGTTGCAAGGCATTTAGATACAGCAAAACCATTTTTAATTTTGATCGGGAAACATCGATTTTTCTCTGATAGAAATCGGACATGCCGAGGTTTTGTAAAGTAATCAGACGAAGATTTTTTAAAAAAAAGTGGACATGCACACATTAATCACGAATTTCTTCGAAATTTTTCATGCCTAACTGACTCTCATATATTAATTTACCGCATATTAAAATCTAATGTTTCCACTGGAGATACGGTTTTTTTTAAAAAAAATTTTTTTTTGCTGTCTTGTTAACCATTGGCATCGAGAAATAAAATTCTGAAAGCAACAAATACATATCTGTATAATGACGGTATGTTTCAAGAGATAAACAAGTCCTTTATCCATCAAACCAGTTTTAAGAAAACTGATAAACTTACTGTTTCGTGGTAAACAGAATTTACGTCAAAACGACATGGACCAGAACAACATTCTCCCTACAGCGTTCAGTTCGTATCATCAATATCGAGTTTTATAAATTTCGCAGAATAAAAATGTATGACGAGACATGTAACCTCATAAGCATCTCTTCAATCTATCCTCTTCGCAAACGAAACGTAATAAATTATCAAGTTAATCAAATCGATAATTTAAACGTACGACTAACATAACACTAATACAAACGAAAAAATGCAAGCTAAAATTCAAGTGGGATTAACTTCTTTCCTATATCAATACCCTCCCTTACGCCTAATTCGTGTCTTAATATCACGAGTATTTCTAAAAGCTGCCAAATGATAGCACCAACACGAAAATTCTGCTACGTAGCGTAATTACAGAGTGAGAACATTCTCCGCGACGCTTCAAACACACAAATCATAAACATTATCTTACCACACGTAAGTTATTCTTTGCTGGACTCGATACGGTCCGACAGCTTGGGGGGGTTGGGCGTGGAGGGTCAACTCCGCGCCTTGAAAAAGATACAGCGTGTTACGAAATGTTACGCTGGGCCTCGGGGACTTGGTAATTATTCGAC